AGTGTATGTTTTTTCAGCCCTTGTCAGGATTCTGATAGCGGAAACTGCTTGGCTGATTTCTATTCCACACACACATCTGTGTGTCTAGATTTGTGCCAGTACCATGCTGTCTCTGTAACTACACTACAGCTTAGTCAGGTATTGTTACAGCTCCAGCACTGCTCTTTTACTTCAGGGTTTTGTTTTTGCTTCCAGAAGTGGGGACTATCTGTGATATGTAAGTATATATATGTACTATACACACGTACTTACAAACAACTCATCTTTGAGTCTTATTTATTAATGATTTATTACCTGTTGCTTTCTTCCTGCGCTCATCTTTTTTATCCTTTTTATTTGTATTAACACTTTCTAAAATGGAAATTTGTTTCAGATCTTCTTCAGTGATTAAATGCACAGGATTATTTTTCATTTCCTGAAATAAAACATGCTTTTTTGGTAGGCAAAATATATAACATTTCAAATAGCAGAGAAGTTGCTTATTTATTTACACATCCTAATTATACTTGTTAGGTTTCATTGCTAAAAATGTTAACATTCATAACTGCTGCTCTGAGGCTGTTTGCCTTCAAAAAGCATCAGTTTCATCTGCTTTTTTTTTGGCTTCGGTACCTATCCCTGGCCAGCTAAAGGGCAAGGTACTTACCGAGCCCCTGACTGCAGAGCAACAGATGCAGTTCTCCAGCAGTCACTGGCTGGTTTTACCAAGTCTAAGAGAAACCCCTTGTCTCTTTCTCTTTTCGAATACTCTTTTGAATACGATGCCACCAGTATACTTAAAATGGCAAGAAGGACATGGAAACTGCTATTATCCCAATGACTACGAGTTGCAAATCAATTCAAATAAATCTACTTTTCCTATGAATTAGTTCTTGATGATCCTACTATTTAAGTTTTATGTTAACAACAATGAATTATTTCCAGCTTCAGTAATCAGTTCATTTTTTATGAGAAATAGTTCTTTAAAAATTAGACAAAAGAATGTTTTCACAGTAAAAATATTTCATTTTTGCTTTCCTAAGAAAAATTCTTAATAATGAGGATTTCAGTAACAAAATTACCTCTCTCTAAACTAATTTTTTTCCCTTGAGGGGGAGGTGTCAAATAAAGAGTTCAAAGAAAGAAAAATGAACATTTTTTAAAAATAACTGATGACTAATACCTCACAAACATATACACTCACTTCCATTCTTGTACTTACATGTATCTTTTCCAGAATATCATTCCTTTCTTTAAGGATAAGCAAAAGTACAGAATAAAAACATTTAACCCTAATGTTTACTAATGTCACACCTATATACTTTTATTCCTGCCTGCCTAACAGGACAATTGCAGAAAACTATCTCATTCTCACACTAGTAAAGTTTAAAAGTATAGACAAACACAAAAGCTTTACACATTTAATAGACCTGCATGAATTCAGTTACAGTGTATTAAGACACAGGGCTTGTTTTACCTGAGACTAGGCTTTACATAAAGATGGTGGTCTTAACTACAACCATGAATTGGATAGCTGTAAAGACAGATCTGGTAAGCACTCTGCTTCATAATACTTTTAGATAGTAGTTAAAACTAAAGATTTAAACCACAAAACTGTTCAGGGGCTGAAGAGATGGCTCAGTGGTGAAAAGCACCAGCTGCCCCTACAAAGGAACCCAGGTTTGATCCCAGCACTTTCATGGTGGCTCACAGCTGCCTGTAACGTAAAATTTGAGAGATCCAATAGCCTCTGCTGACTTCCGAGGGCACCCAACACACATACATGGACACACATGGATATATATATATATATTTAAAATCATCAGTTTTTTATTAAGACAGGTTCTCACTGTAATAGTCCAGGGCTGACCCTGAGCCTAAATAGACCCAAACTAGTGCCCTTGTCCTTAGCCTCTGAGGGCTAGAATTACAGGAATGCAACATCAGGCTTGAATATCTAGTAAACTTTGGTAAAAACATTTCTTTTCCAGTGTTTTACCCTGTTTATTCTGGCCAGGTAAAATTAATGAGGCTTTTCAGGATTAATTATCTATGGTGCTTTGTACTTAAAATATGCTCATTGCTTTCCTTTTTTTGATCTCTCTCTCATCACAACTTGATGTATATATAGGTAACACTGTAACATATTTCAATATTTTAACAGTGGATCAAATCCTTTGGCAACATAATTTGAAACTACGTAATTTTATTGATAATATTTAATTTGTAAACTCAGGTCTCTAAATTTTAACAGGTTCTAATGAAGATGAAGAAAAGGAATAATAAGTCCTCAAGGAAAGAAAAAAGAAATATATAAAATGATATTCCTTTGTGGTCAGACTGCTTGTTGCATTTCCCAAAAGATAACAGACGGTCCTATGGGAAAGAAAATGATGTCAAGATGAGGAGGTGGAAGAAACCCTGGAATACCTTCTCAGCTTTCTGGCGCATTCGTTCGCTGAACAGTTCTGTACAGTCACTTACAAATTTTTCACTGACCACAACTGTGTCACTAAAGATTACAGCGGAAGCTTGCTTGCTGAATGGTCTCATCACCTGCTGAAGCAGCATAGCAGCATCTTCAGTTGACAAAGAACTGGGTAGCAGAGGCTGGAATTACAAGCAAAATGAAAATGAGAAGAATGCAGGAAAACACAGGTTATCTGTTTCAGAGGTATAATATACATATGTATTTAGTCGTATGATTTCCCTCAAGTAGCCTTTTTTAAGCCAGTGGCTTTCAGATGCAGTCATGATCATAACTTCTCAATTTTTCTTGTTTCAGCAGCACTTTGAGCTCCAGAGTCTGATGCTATTTTTAAACCAAATTTCTCCACTTGAAGGCCCTTTAGAAATATCAAATTGGGCAAACCACCACCAGAACCTACAAGACCCCTTTGTGCTTCTCTCTTATAAACCTACAAAATATTTGCCAGTAAATCCTGATAACTTTACCTGTAAAAAGCTTCCTTTCAACTCTGTCATCGGAATTATTATTTTGAATTACTGTTTCACTTTAAACTGCTTGTCCTAAGAGAAGACCCTTGTTTGTCTACCATATTTCTAGCATATAGAACAATGCTAGAACATTGTTTTAAAACGTTAAAAACAATAGGTTCTTCCACCAACACAATATAGGCCAGATCAGACCAAAATAAATGTAAGTAAATGCAGGTTTACTAGGCACTGCTCCCAGGTGGGTCCACTTGTCCCAGCAAAAGGAGCTGGGGAAGTCCCTCATCCAGGCTAAGGCAGGGAGGTTGATCTTAGGTGAGGAGTGATGACATGTTAATCAGGAGCTGGGACTGTGCCATAGTACGGTCAGAAGCTGGACACCTGGGTGGATGCTTGAGTGGACTGGTCATGCGCGAGCTGCCAGAACGCAGATCTGAGCTTTTGGCCCCATTCTGTTGTTCAGAGTGTTTCAGTGCGGGTGTGGAGAGAGAGAGACAGAGAGAGAGAGAGAAAGGGGCTTCCTGGACCATGAGGAGCGAGCTAGAGGTTCCTACCACATAGAAACTAAAACCTGCTATCAGGATAAAGATGCCTTAAGAAATTTGGCATCCACAGCAAGAGTCTTTCTACCTTATAAAAAGCTCTGTGGTCTGACGAGAAGTAACAGATTAGCTTCCGGTTTAACTTCACCCACACTTAGGACTAATGAAGGGCAGGTGAACCTTGAATAATGAGGCAAAGCACTATCAGTGCTAAAGCAGCTTATGCTAATACTTAGCAGAGATTACTGGAGAAGGGATAAGCAAATGATGCAGGATGTCTGAGGCAGGGTAGTTGTACATGCTTGGATAAGGTTACTTTCAATTGCTAACTCTGACACAATGTAGCATCCCCTGGGAAGGGAGTCTCAGTGAGGGACAATTTAGGTCAGGTTGGCCTGTGGGCATGTCTGCAGAGGATTGCCCTGACTGTGTTAATTAGCAGGGAGACTCAGCCTTGGTGTTAGTGGCACCATCCCCTGGGTTTGGGTCCTGGATTGCATACAAAAGAGGAAAGTAAGTGGGGCACCAGCAAGCATGTGCGCGCTATTCATTTTCTCTCCCTAGCCTGTGGCTGTATTACGACCAGCAGCTTCGTGTTCCTGCTCCCGTCATTTCCCACAAGGACAGACTGGAAACGTGGAACTGTGACCTACAACAAGGCTGTTCACCCTGGAGTTGGTTTGATCAGGATATCTGTAACAGAAACTGGAAATGAAACTCATATACAGATGTGCAAAATCTCATCAATTTCAGTATTGGGACTGATATGGTTGCTATACTGTTTTCTTGTTTTTGACCTTTGTAGAATTCTGGATTGGATTATGTACACCTGAAAAATTAAAATTTCTGTTGTAACAATGATTGCTAGATTTTACCTTTAGTGGCAAGATTATCTTTATATGGCCTATTTCTAAAATCCATTTTGCTTATTTTAGTTAAAGGGATGAATTTTATTTTAAAAATGGGCTGTGGTACAACAGGACATAGCCAGTCCCTACAGTAGAGGATTTAGTATTTCTTAGTAAAATATCATCATTGGCTTAAACAAAAATTAAGAGAAAAAGGTAAAACGTACAGAAATATCAACCCACGTTCCAGAACTGATGGCTTCTTCTACTGATGCTTCCACTTGGTCCACGAGTGCTTGACCAACACAGGCTGCCTTCAAAAACAAGAGCTGAGCGTTCTTATACCTTTTCTTTATATAGTTCACAGCATCTGGGATCCCAAGTCTAGACAAAGCATCAAATTCTAGAAATACACAAGAAAGTTGAACAGAACGGTCAATCGCTCATATCTCCCAGAAGCCTCCTAAGAAGTTACGTTCTATACAAAACCATTCTTTGACTGTGGATTCAATGTATTCCAGTATTTTCTGAGGACTACAAGAAAAAAAACATAGCTTGTTACCTGGGTATCTTCCGACATGTCTATTTTTAAAGTTCTCTGTTGGAAAGGTATTTCAGGTGTTCCTTAAATACACTAGTGGTATGAGCCCTTCCCCAAGTGAAGGGTTGGAGTAAAATAGGACTAGAGAAGCAATGCAATGAACAACAACAGTAAAGGAAATAGAATGGTTCAAATTAAAAATAAAAACTGGAATCTATTTTGCTTATTTTAGTTAAAGGGATGACTTTTTCTTTTTTAGACTGTGTCATGGTATGACATGATGTAGCCAGTCCCAGCCTACATAGCTAGGAGACGATTCAGTATAAAAGACTCAGAATTACACATGTTACGGTTAAGAAAACTAACGTCTGTGGTTGAAGTTGGATGCACATCATCAGAGAGCAAGCAAACGTCCAGCCGAGTGTAGGTTCAAACCAAAGCATTCTCCACAGACTTAGAGAATGTGCCCTGCTATGCTTGATCATGAATGTATTCAGCAAATGAGGTGGTTACTCCTTTAAATCAGTCTACTTTACTGAAATCATGGCAGAACCTCAGAAATACACGTTAGAATAGTATTGTTTCTGAGTAGTAGATAACTGAGAAAAGTAAGCACTGTAAAGCTGACAGTCAATAAATAGTTCTAAGATGAAATAACTGAGAAGGGGTAACTTAATAAAACAATAAGCATATTACATTAAACAAATAATTACTTTTAAAATTTTATATCACCTTTGTACAAATTGAAGGGCAGCATCTTTTGGCATTTTAAATTTTCAGTATTTTAGTAGTTCCTATGCCCCACAGAACTGAAAGAAAGAACTTTGCAGCCAAAGGGAACCATGGAAAATTCCAAACACAGGAAAATGCATGTGGAGTCTGAGTACAACACTCTCTAATATCATTTCAGTGTTAGGAAAACATTTTAGTTTCATAGAAAAGAAAAACAGTTACCTAGATAGCCATTCTGCCTGAAAAAGGCATCCACCCAAGCACTCTGTGTCCTGGAGTAGATGTCAGGGACAAACACGGCTTTATCCTGTCGTCCACCAACCACAGTGCCCCGTAAGCGACCAGTGCTAACAAGCTCCTCAAGCACAGCTAGAGCAAATGCACATAACACAGACCATCAGAACAGGGGCACATCTTTAAAGGTCAAGTACTTCTCAGTCAGTCTCCCTAAAATTTATGTCTTTAAAACATAATTTAAAATTTAAACATGATGCATGAAATTACAGTTTCAAGAAAAAAATCCTGATATTTATGAGACTACTCAGGTTGTAATTCAGGGAAAAAGTAGAAACTAGTGTACTAGTGTAACTCAAACCAGACAATATACACACATTGAGTAATTCTGAATAAAACTCAACATTCTGGTCTTGAAACCAGAAATAGAGGCCATGAGAGAGGAGGAAGCATTGCAAGAGAGTGGGAAGGGGGAAAGAAGAGGACAACAGAACACATGTGACATAAAGCAAGAGGGAGGGAATTATTTGGGGGAGGGAGAGGACCAGTAAGGACAGTAGTGGAAACAGAGTCGAAAGACAACTAAAATCAAAATATGACACATATACATAATGAAATCCATTACTTTGTATGCTAATTTAAAACTTAAGTAAAAAAAAAGCATCCCATCATTTATTTTCTAATTTGATATAAAGCAGCTGATCAAATACTAGTGGTTAATGTTTAACCACTAGCATTACATTCAATTTTTTAGTATTGAGAACCAAGCACTAGGACGTGCTAGAATCAGCAGTGTGAATAAAGCCACAGAACACTTTCCACTGTCCCTACATTTCTGTATGAAGCAGCACACAAGCCATTCATAATGCAGAAGGAAATACCACAGCTCAGAGTATGGCTTCTGTGGCTCTAATGCTGAAAGACAAACCTCAACTTTGCCATCTACTAACTATACAATACTGGGCAAATAATTTCTTTCATGCCTTTATTTTCTCATCTGTGAAATGGGGAAAATAACAATACCTATTTCATGAGGTTGCTGTATTCAAGAGCGACCATCAACTGGCATAACATAAGCCAGTTATATAATACATAGTAGCCTCAAATTTCATTATCACCTTCTCCATTCATAATCTAGGGCCAATCTGAAAACTAACTTGACTTTATGCATGTTCAACCGGAGGAAAATCATGCCTCGTATGTTATGGTTCCTGGGGCTAGTGAAGTCATGGACCTTGCAGAAGAACCAACAATCACCATTTTACTAAACCAGCATAATCCCAAGCTCCCTTCTAAATATTTGTCCTTATACCTACAGTGTAGTCCTCACTCATTAAGGAAACTTCTTTCTGAACACACTAAGACCATTATAGAAAATAACAACAAATCACAATGCAGAGGTTGGAGCTCAGTCACAAAGGATATCTACAATACAACTCTTGTATGTAAAGCTCAGGGACCATTGTGGAAGAGAGGATGGAAAGATTATAAAAGCAGAGGAACAGTGAATTTACTGTGAAATTGTATTTCCTAGGAATTCCAAAATATTACCAACATGGCTGCTCATAACAGTAGACATGCTAGTGTGGATAGAAAAATGCCAAGAAGGCTTCAGCCTTAACACAGGCAATTAAGAGACACTGAGAGCAGAAGAAATTCTTCTCCAGGAAACAGCACCCCAGTTTACTCATCCAGTAACACACACACACACATACACACCACCACCACCACCACCAATCAATGAAAAAAGAGGCCATGAATTTGGAAGAGAAAAAGAAGGGAAATGTGGGTGTTTGAAGGGAAGAAAGGGAAGGGAGAAATAATATGATTATATTATAGTCTCAAAAATTAGGAGACATTAATAAAAAAAAGAGAATGGAAAAATAAATTACTTTGACTCATTAACAGCCAATAAAGTAGTGCTATACTTTGGATGCTAGAGGTCTTCTTGGTCCTACAGAAACGCTAATGGGGGCTGAAGGAGCCTGTAGGAGGTAGAACCTACTAGGAAGTCCTTGGGCAGTAAATGTATGCCCTTGAAGAGAACTGTGTGACCCCAGATTCTTCCTCTCTTCTCTGTGTTTCTAATATTTTTTTTTTTTTTTTTTTTGCCACAGGATCCTCACTAGTAGGATCATCCAGCAATCACCCCCCCGCAAGGTCCAAAGAAATGAATCTACCCAGTGTTAGCCTGGAACTCCCAAAACTATTTAAACAGAAGAATGAGATGATACAAAACGAAACAAAACAAAACCGGCTTCTCTTCCCCTGCCCCCACTTACATCTTCCTTTTCTCTTTGCCACTCATATTTCTCTCTTTCAGAATAATAAAATAAAAATAACCTTTCTGTCTCCCCACTGAGGATGAAAGGCTGGTCCTTATGCATTCTCAGAAAAGTCTGTTACTATATTCCACCTACCACTTAAGAAATACAAACTTAAACAAAACTCACAGTAAAGGAGCTGCTCCTGAAATCCATATTTTGAAATCAAAGAATTCACTGCTGTAGGCCTTTAAGGGAAATTAAAGGAAAAAAAAAATTAAAGCCAATTTACTATACAATTGTATATGATTAAAAAAATAAGAACTGGAGTTTATTAAAAGAAAACACCAATTAATTTAAAGAAAAAATAATGGCAATTTATACCAAATTTTAGAGACCTTACCAGATTTCCTACCCAGATAGCAGGAATCAGTCTTTCTTTATAATCCAGATCAATTTCTATTCTGATTCCACCAGGTTTTCCTCTCTGTGATGCTGGACTTTCTCCTGTCTCTCACTGTGCAGCACAGTGAGAACCAAGGATGCTCATGTCCCTCATATAAAATGCTGTACGATCTCCCGATAGCCTGAATACTTACCACTTCTAGATGTCCTGAGTTTCTAATGCAATGTTACCTGAACATGTTTAGTGCATCTGTAACTCTCTTACTAAGGAGTTCCAGTACATGATTTGCATCCATGAATGACACAGCACTCAGAGACATGTGACGGTTGGGTGTATGTAATTTTCCTTGTGGTGGGTTCCCTCTCCTCACTTGGGAATATTCAAGTAAGTCTCATATAGTTTCATTTTTTAAGATAAGGGAGATAATATGTGCACTTAAATGTATTTGTATGAGGTATTTTTAGTCAAGTGTTTGAGAGAAAGCAATAGGATCAGAAGGAAGGAAAAGAAGTCCTCCCCTATCAGCGGACTTGGGGAGGGGCATGCATGCAGAAAGGAGAGGAAGGAAGGGATTGGGAGGGGAGGAGTGAGGGAACTATAGGGGGGATACAAAGTGAATAAAGTGTAATTAATAAAGAATTTAAAAAAAAAGAGTTACAACAAAAAATGTTCTTTTTTACTTATCTGTACTTCCTGTAACATTTCCTAAACTATTTTAACAGGGTATAATTTTTATATAATTAATATCCACTCAAGTTCAAGTACATAACTCCATAGTTTTAATCTTAATAAATTTACAAAATTGTGTAACCATCACAACAATTCAGTTTTACAGATTACAGTAGTATTTGTAGCCAATCACTGCTGCCACCCTATAGATAAATCATCATCTATAAATTTGCCCTTCTAGACAGTCACTGTAGTTGAATCAACAGGAGGTCTCTTACTTGTTTTCTTTCACTCAGTATTATGTTGCAGGATGTTCATCAATGATGAAACATGCATGACACGGTTCAGTCTTGAACAGCACTCTATTACACACTTTGCTTTTATTTGCATCAGCTGGCAGACACTGTGAATGCGAGGCATTCTGAATACATGTAATGAATGTCTTGTTTCAAGTCTTGTGGAGCATTGTATTTGACTGTGATAGCTGAGATAACAGGATGCCATAATTTCATCCCAATGCCCTGTGCATGCATAAATCACACTCTCCCACTATCACTAACACATCCCCAGCTGCTTTTAGGTAGCTGAACAAATTCCCGAAAGTATCTCTGTTTTGTTTTTTGTTTTTTTGTTGTTGTTGTTTTGTTTTTTTGGTGTGTGTGTGTGTGTTGTATCTGTTTATAGTGTATGTCTATGTGCTCAGGTATGGAGCCTATAGAGGCAGAGGAACAAATGGGGGTATCTTCCCCTGTAGCCTCACTTACATTTTCACAGGGTTTCTCACTCACTCTACTTAGCTAGACTAGCTCCACTAGTCAACTCTCCTTGCAGGCCTTGGGCCACTCATGCGTGCCCTACACTTTGCTTTAAAGAGCATGTTGAGGCTACACTCCGGTCCCCATGCTTGTAGAGCACACAATTTATCCACTGAGGCACCTTCCCAGTCCTCTATCTACTTTTCACTACTGATGACTTTGAAAATAATGTTTTGTTTCTATTTCCTTTAAGCCATCATCTTAGTTCTCCAGTCAGTTTCTATTCTTATGTATATTCAAAATCCTGTAACTAATTCCAAATTTTTAATGTCTTATGGATTATTTAGAATGCCACAACTTTATTTTCTTTTACCTCCACAAAGAAAGTTGGTAAATTGATGCACTTACTTAAAAATGAATGAAATACTTAAAGCTCCTGTATTTGGACAATTTTGACTAAAAATTATTTAACAAAATTTCATGTAGATCAACTTATTTTATTAAATTGTTTGATCCCAAATTTTCTCAAATTCCCAAATTAATTAGGTCCCAGTATGCTGTACATTGTATCATGTGTTTCCCTTACAGTAAAACATCATAACTTCTTACATGATATTTTGGTGTGTTTTCTGTTCCTTCTAGCGAAACCTAAAAAAAAGAGCTCTCTTAAAGGACCCCACCTCAACTGTGTAGATATTACTCACTATAGGTGGTCAATACATGTTCTAAGTTTCTGCCTGTAAGAGCCGTCAACATATCCTTGTGGTTGAATATGGCTTCAGACCAGAAAAGTGAGGTGGTTTCTTAGTTTCTAGCTCTTATACAGACATAGTGAATTAAATGTACTATTTGGATGCCACAGGTCTCAGGAGTATCTTTTCAGGCTCAGAATTAGTTTTACTTTGTAGTTTGATAGCACCTCACACAGACTCTGGGCTATAGTGAGAGAAAAAAACAAACAAACAAACAAACAAACAAAACAAAAAACAAAAAAAACCCTGCTGATTGTGACAAAATTTACCCTTGCTACTGTAATCAGCAAAATATAAAAGACAAATATATTAATAGAAAAACATTTTTAGTTTTTGACTAAATGATAAATTCAAAGGGACAAAGATATAAATCTGTTTCCCCCTATCTCTACCAATCAGCTTCACAGTTCTGCTCCCCCTAAAAACCAACACTTGTGTTTGGAGGGAGATTGCATTTGTGTGGTCAGAACCCATGGAGGATGGAGTACATGGAGGGATACTATAGCAGCAACAACCAATCAGGTACATAATGGGAAATCATGAAATAAGTAAACACATTAAGGCCAATGCATGCTAAGTTTACTTACGGTGGTTGAAGAAGAGAATCACAAATACAGAAAGTAAAAACAGAAAATAAGAATGCAGTGAAGCCTAGTGTCTGACCTGGATCAGTCTGCAAACAGCTTTGTTACATGTGTTTCGGAAGATACACAGTAAGTGCACATACGTATGTCAGGGCCTCCTTGCTGACCAAGAGGACTGCGGGGTAGCGAGAACCAAACAGTGTGAAAAGCAACTAAGCACATGGATTCTACATAGTCTACTCCAAGAATCAGGCACCCTTGGAGAAATGGCTCGACAGTCTGGGTGGGACAGGGGAGGACCCTGGACCTGGAACTGAAACACTTCGTCCTATCAGTAAAAAAAAGGTATCCCATCCAGGAATGATGGGGTCGGGTCGTGGCAGAAGGTCAAAAGGCAGCCTGAGTGCCGACTACTAGCAAAGGAAGTTAAAGTCGAATAACAAATTTAGGGAGCACTAAGTCCCCAATGACACAAATAATTAAGCAAACAAACTGTAAGTCTGAGGAAGAATGGGACATACGGTCCTAAACTATCATCCCCGTGTATGACTATCTCTTTTCTGTACAAAGGAAAACAAGTAGCTTTATAAGAATTTTATCGGCTATATCTGTTAAGTAAGTTACTCACCAGTAATTGAAAAAGATCTAAAGTGTGTATCGCCCGCTACGATTCAATTAGAAGAATAAAGTGTTCCTTCTGTGTATTCCCTGCCATTAATGGGCAACCTAGATACTGACATTCACATGCAAACCTTTCAAAAAACAACAAGACAACATTTTAAAAAAATAACTAATCTGTGACCTTTAAAACAGGAAAGCCAGGGAAAGACCAAACAGGCATTCCAGATGAAAGGTGACCAAAGACCTGTAACAGTTAAATGAAATGGGTGATTCTGAACTGAACCTGACAGGCCAGAAAGGGCAGTGATGAAGCAATCTGAACATCAAAATGGATTCAAAGACCAGAAGAGTATGTATCAATGTTAATTTTCTGACTATGAGTTCTATATTATATTGTATAGGATAATGTTCTTTTTGTAGGAAATACAGACTAAATTGTTTGTGGTAAAATTTGAGCAACTTCTATATTGGTCATAGAAAAACTCTCTAATCTTTAAAGTCCAAATTTTTAAAAACAAAAAAGAAAGAAGAAATTTGTTTCATCAGAGTATACATGTTCCCTCCAAACCTTTCAATCTTTTTTTCTCTTGCCTTGAATGTGTCCAGTACTCAACAAATGTATGCTGTTGCTAAATGACAAAAAAGAAATCACTACAACTGCCCTATCTAAAAGATGTGTCTGCAGTTAGATGCTGATGTAAAGACAAGCAAAACAAGGAAAAAAATAGGTCATGAGATTAGTGTTAATGACAATATAAGTGGTAGAAACCAGATAAATAGTTTGAGACATGAGAGAGGGTAAGAAAATGAACAGTGAATATAGACGTAAATCTTAAGAAGAGGTTTTAAAAGAAAAGAATGAACATTATTAGATGGAGTGGAATATGCCATCCAGATAGTTGTTTGAAATGAAAAATCCGGATATCTCAAATGCTGATGACACACAAAGCTACTCAACAGAAACTTATGTGACAGGTGAGGAGATAACTAAGAATGTAGGCTTTCTGAATTCGATTTAAACAAATCTAAATATTTTATAGACTCAGTCTTGAAATGTGCCTTTTTAAAGCAACACTGCTATTCCTTAAAATGTGGAGTTTTAGTAAAAAGGATCCTAAAACAGTCCATCTGAACTCCAAGTAAATTAGGCCACTGACATATCTGCCCCATATCACGTGGCTGCTAATGTAATAGAACAACAGACCCACATTCTTCTATTTTAATAACTGCACAGTCTTTCCATGATTTCAGGTTGATTTTTATATAGTGATGTCAGCATCAGATTTTCAGCTGTTTTCTGTAAAAGTACAAAAGCTGTTGGGCAGAGAAAGGAAGGTGCTATGGGTGGAGACAGGCTGTGTCTTGGGACCCTGGAGGCTTTACAGCCCCATTTCAGAGAAGCACTCCTTCTATTTGTACAATAAACTGGGATGCGCAATGAGATTTTGCTTCAGAATGATTCAGCTGCTAGAAAAAAATGCAAATCATGTCAGAAAAACGTACAAGTCTATTTCTCTCTTTTTCTCTCCCTCTCTCTCAACACGTTTACCTGGTAATAGCACTAAAGAGTCCACGGATGCGTGCTTTATGGCGAGCTACAAAGGCCTCAGTGAAAATTACTCCTCTGTTATCAAGGTCAATATGGCCATTGATAATTCGACCAAGTCGCTGTGTTAAAGCCTGGGAAAAAAAGGTCAATTTTTACTAATTTGAAATAACAAAATTAAATTATGCGTTGCAGTCCTATACAACTCATGCTATATGCTGTGACAGAAATTCCAACTGCACAAATTACATGACGCGTAAATTAATGTTGGAGTAATATCTATACAGCTTCATTGTCTAACAGTAAAGAAACACACCAAATTGTTAAAGCATTAACTATAAAAGGGTGGGTAGGGGGCTCCCCTTCTCTGAAGAATAGGGAAAAGGGGAGAGGGGAAGAGGGAGGGTTGGATTGTAAGGAGAGGAGGAGGGAGGCTATGACTGGGATGTAAAATGAAGAAATAAGAATTAAAATAGTAATTATTAGTTAATTGATAGAAGATTAACTATAATAATGGCCCTTGCTTATAATACTTATTTCTAATGGAAAATAAAAATGACTGATTAGCCAATTTTCTAGATATAAATGGTACACGTAGCACGATGAGTCTTAGAGAAGACTTTCTTTGGACCTTTGGATACTTACAGGAATAAATGTTATTCCAAGATTTTTATAAGTAGGGAAACCTAAGTCTTGAAACAAGACTTTTTCCAGATTTAAACTGGCAGATTATCTGGTCTCTTGACAGTTTTTCAAACTTGAGATAGTATTTCTCCTCACTATACTGCAACTACACAAGTCCATGTGAAACAGGCCTGGCCGTATTTCATACCACCCTTCCCCAGTCAAAAGTAGATGTATTCAAGTTGATTTGTTTGATAGTCTCCTAACAAAGAAAAATGTAATACGCTCTTAGAAACACATTTTTGATATTCAGAAAACAGAGCTGGGAACTCTTCAGTATCTAGGAACACAGCTGCAAAAGAAACCATCTGGTCTGAGCCTTCTATCTTTAAACTTGACTTTCTATGATTTCTAGTTACTAAGGTAAAACGTGACTTAGACCCCCAACATGCTTTGTATGACCATCTATGTTCTCTAAATTGTGTTTTACATACCACTAGGAAAGCTTATTCTATTAATACATGTGAGTGAATGCATCTATACCACAAATTAATCTCATGTTCTTATGGTATGATAACTCTCTGAAGTTGGATTTCCTTATGCTGAAAAGCAGTTGTGGTTTGAATGGGAATGGCCCTATAAGCTCCTATGTTTGAATGATTGGTCCTCAGTTAAAGAACTGTTTGGAAGGGTCAAGAGACCACCTGTCACTGGAGGTAGGCAATGTCTTTTTCTCCCTGACTGCCTACCAGTGGGCCCTGCATGAGCTCTCAGTCCCTGCCTGCTGCCATGCTTCTTCCTGCCTTGATGACAATGGACTAACTCTCTGAAACTAAAAGTACACCCCCAATTAAATCCTTTTCTGTAAGAGTTGCAGTGGTTATGGTGTCTATTCACAACAGTACAGTAACTAAGATGGTAGTTAGATGAGATTTAGCTGTTTATTTCAGTAAATTTTTTAAAAAAGCTGCTATTTCTAGTGCTGCCTTTGTGCTAACAGTTCATTAGACATCTCACTGAAGCTTATGAAAAGAATATGGTTATTTCTTCTCAAAAGATATGGGACTTGCAATACCACACAGATGAAACAACAGTTTTCTTAATGTCAGTTAGCTAAGAAGTGTCATCAATAGGATTGAAATCCAGGTCTGTTTAACACTAAAGCCTATGGATTTTCCACTGTACCACATGGACATCTGTGATATAAGACAACAAACTACTTTAGAAACACAGACAACGTGTACGTGGCACTGTTACTGCACTAGAGTCATGACACTGGAATTCAGTATCAACACAGATACATAAAGTTAGAGAATATGTGAGATTCTTTGTTCTCCCGGCATAGTCACACTTCAGAGGAAGAAACACGTGGCAACAGAACGATAATCTTTGTAGAAGATGTTTTACACGGAAAAAGATTCAGCAGCAGCCCTCCTCTTTAACAATATACCCAAACTGTTTATATCCTAGTCTGTTTCTAAGCAGCGGGTATTGTAAGCATTAATAAAATCCGCGCACCTGTGGTCTATGTGCTTCTACGGTATCAGGTTGGGCCTAACAATTTATCTTGCCCTTACGTATCTTGTGATTTGGGGCTGGGGATAATTATAATCATTTTCAACAGTCTCTTCAGAGCCACCAAATAGGATACCCCCCCCCCAAAAAATACATGGTTTTAAGGTGTATCTACTTGTATCTCTATTTATTTAAAAAAAAAAAAGAAGAAAACAATCTACTAAGATTTTTTTAAAAATTCTTTATACTATTAGGAAAAAACAATACCTGTGTCAGAAAATCTCCAGGAAGATCATAGGTTTTACACAGTTCTGAGATGGTTACTTGACCACTTTCTTGTAATTTATCATTCACCTCTTCTGATAATTGATCCAGATAGTTCCTAATATTGAAACAAGTTAAACAAACAACAAAAAACATTAAAAAATGTTTTCCTTCTGTATTCTTCCCCTTTCCACCGGAGCACATTAGGCCCCCAAAATAGTAAACAGGATGTGAATGAGCATCTTCATTGCTCAGATTCTAAAGCTTATTTTTTGCTCATGGACATTACTAAATGTAAGGTTAATCAAATGATAGTTTTTTTTTCTTCTGCCAATAGAGATTTTATAGTCATTTCACAGTAATATTTTTAGAACACATTTGCTTTGAGTTTACTTAATTTATCATAAATAATAAGTTGTTTTTTATTGCTTTAAAAAAGTCAAGATTTATACTATTTATATATATTCCCCATAACTAGCATCTACTTTTAACTGGAATGACCTTTACAATGAAAGTCTGTATCGAGAGCTCTAAACAAATAGCCTAACTGGGTACGACTGGCCTCAACTTAAATACTAGTTAAGAGAACAAAAAAAGTACATGAAAATGTTATACTTACTCATCTATTAGTTGTCCCAACACCATCTGGACATTTTTCTCTGATTTAATAATGTCACCTACTCTACTTTCAATATGAGTTAGATCCACATTAATAACCTAGAATTAGACAGAAATTATATAAAGTTTCTACTAGTTCTTAAATTTGAAATTACACATTTATTAGAGTTACACGTTTACACTCATTCTTACATAAATTAGGAATTGTTTTAAAATACTGATAGCTGAGTATGGGGTCAAACACCTATAATCTTAACAGGCAGAACGACAGCCACAACTTCAAGGCCAGTGTGGTCAACATAACAAGTTCTAGGCAAGACAGGACCACAGAGTAAAACACTGCATACACACACGCGTGTACACACACACACACAGATGCGTGCACACACACACACGACATATGTATATCATATATATATATATGATATGTATAAAACATACATATTTGTATATAAAACAATCAAACTAATAAATACTGCCAAAGCCTTAGTTACATAAAAATTCCGAAGCCCTACTGCTTATCTATTTACTTTTGAGTTCTGAAGAATTATATTTTTCCAGGAAAACTTATATTAAGCAGTGAACTCTATTTTCATAAAATAGTTTTTCATATTTTCAGAAAAAGTTTTCTAGCGACCAACGTAGTTACACATGCTTTTTAATATTTTGGAAATATTTTTTACTTTTTCCATTACTCTCTCTATATTGAAGTGTATAAATATGAAACCCTAATGACTTTTCTCTAAAAATTACATAAACCTTATAATTTTATAAAGTAATAACTTTTGAATTTATCTGTAAAGAATGAACAACTCAACCAAGAAAGAAAACCTGAGTAAATCAACTCAAAGCATCAACGAAGGCTTCACAACCACTTCTTCACATGTATCATACCAACTCTGACACCAATATTGGTGAATACTTAGAAAGGAACTGAATGAGCTCATAGCATTAGAAATTTACAAAACTTTAAGAAATCAAAGTAAAACTTTTATAAATTTACCTGCTGTAAGTCGACAATGTTTACTCGACCTTTGAACAAAAGACAGGAATTTAAATGGCATCAAAGTACAGCCAAACAACTTCAATTCTAACAGACAGTGTTGATCAGTCCAAGTCCTTCTACAAAGGGCATAGGACCACACTAGCTGATGCATTTAGATACAAATTACTAACTAATCAATCTTCATGGTTAAAGCCACAGGCAGCACTGCTGCCATCACCTCAGACGAACTATGAACACCAACTGACACAAGGCAGACAAACCTAAGGGGGTAGGGCATTTAATTCTTCCAATTCAGTTTATCTAAAGTGGCCAAAGGCTATAGCTGCAATTAAATTAAGATGGCTCCTCCATTATTTGAAAATGAAAAGTAAGTGTCTATTAGGAAGAATCAGTAAATATTCCAAATCACAGCTCATATTTCATTAGCACTATTGCAGGGAGATAAGAAACACCAAGGTTACACCCTAATAGTATCTAATGAAGAGTCGTTTCTATTTAAGTCAACTGTGCTCAATCTTAATACACTGCTCAGATTTTAAAAATACAAAGCAAAACAATATTTCATGTTAGATGGCACTAATTGCACTTCATATAATGTGAGCCTGAGGCCACTGTATACTGATTTACAAAGTTTTGTTGTTATTATTATTATTATTATTATTATTATTATTATTATTATTTTACAGAACAGTAATGCAGCCTTAGTATCTGAGATCTTACAATCTTATGAAATATCTATTCTTCTTTTACAATTACATCTGATAACTCAATGCTTAAAAACCCACAGTACATTTAATTCAATACAACAAAGCATGATATTTGTTACATGGCAATAGTTAAGATCCTATTTGCTTATGTGAACCTATGAAGGCTGATTATCAAGTTAGCAGTTGAGAAGGGTTAAGCTCAGTGGTAGTATTTGCCTAATGTGTGCCCGTGTCTGATTCTTAACACAAAGGGGAAAGGAAAAAGAGAAACTGAGGTGAATGTCCCACAACTCCATTTAACTATTTAGTCATGACTTTAATTTATTTCCTCCAAACACTGCAGTAAAAACAAAAGCACAACACTAGGAATCACTTACCACCTCGGACATGTAGCTCATCTCTCATTTCTTTACTGATCTGGGCTGGAGTGATATATTCTTTCCCATCAAGTGTATGAACTACTTCTAGCTGTTTCTGAGATATTAACTTATTCACAATTTCAATGCAGTTCCGCTCTGACAACCTGAGAGAAACCAAAAGTTTAAGAGTGTCATGATATATTCTACAAAAGTATTTGAAAGCAAAATTTTGAGTAACTTCTACTTTGCAAAATCTGTCCTTTATTAGTATAATGATGTTGATTAATTTAAAAAAAAAAAAACTACTCCAGAGTAAGGAACTTTACATTCATTTGAATTATTGACTTAATTCATACATGTCACTGCATTATGATTCTAAAGGTGTTTTCTTAATCCTTTCTTCAGTCTTCAAATATCAAAATTGTGGGCATACAATTTAAGAAAGAAAACCCCAGCTATGCCTTTAACTTTCAGGTGAAAACAAACGTTTCTTAGAGACCACAGTACGTTGGCCTTGCTGGTACAGCTGTACAGGCAGGACATCTGTCTTACTTAGCAAGACCATGGTTACCTCTGTAAGTTAACTACGCAGTTACTGTGCCTAGATTTTCTCCCTTGGGTTTTTAACTGTTTGGGTTTGTTGTTTGGAGTGTTGAGTGTGTGTACGTAGCTCTCAACACTATAAAACACCATCAAAGGACTGGTGTTTTTAGGACAGCAGAAATAAAATACTACAGGAACTCGTTTATGAGGAGAGAAAGTCCATTGGCATTATAGAGGTGATCTGTAATCCTGCATGCGGTAATTCTCCAACGGTCGTGGGGTGCAGAAAAGTCATGGGGTGCGGGTCTGGCGTCGCTCTGCGGCCGCAGAGAAAAGGAGTTAAAGGGGGACAGGCTACTTGCTGCGCAGCGCGCTGGGGTCTCGGCAAGCTCTAGGCCGGGCGGCGAGCGCCTCTACCGGCGGCCGCAGCAGCCGGGCTCCGGGGTCTCCCGGGACCCGGCAGGCAGCGCGGAGACGACAGCGCCCCGGGCCGAGGCCGGCGCCACACCGGAGGGGACCAGCACCTCTGCGTGGCCTCCGCAAACTGCGCCCGCTGGAAGTCAGCAGCCAGCCGCCGGATCTCCTCCCAGGCGTCCGCCATCACTGCCTCGCTCGCCCCGGCTCCGGGAAACCGCTGACACGTCAGCCCTCGGCCGCCACGAGCGCCGAGGGACGGACCGCGCTGAGGGCCAAGAGACCCGCGCTAAAGCAAATCGCGAACCGACGCGCGGCTGCCATGGTCCCGCCCCCTGCTGGGCGTGGCCTTCAGGAGCGGCTTTATAAACTGCTTCACAGCCAAGCCAAGAGCTGCCTCAGTAATCCTCCCCTTTGCGAGGTTCCTGGTCAGCCCTTACTGGGCGACAAGTCACACTTCTTTTCTTGGGCTGTTACAAACCATGGCTAATCCATTTTGAACAGTGAATCGGCCTTTTACTTGGGCCAAGAATACTACTCCCTCCTTATCCTTCTGCATTGACCTCTGGCCCTTCTTTTTCCCATTTCCCCATTCATATTACCTGTATTCAGATATTATTCTCTTTACTCCCTCCCCATTTTCCCTTTTTTCTTTCCTGGTTTCTTAGTTACTCCAAGTTGTAGTCTCATGTCTAAAGATATATCAAATATTGTAATTTTTCTGAGTACACAGTCTTTATAAAATAGTAAGAGTAAGAATAAATAGGCTCTAGAATACATGGACTGAATTTCATGGCGTTTGCAATACCCAAATGGATTTATTTGGGGGAAACAAACTGATTTAGTAGTATGGCCCAAGTAAAAGGCCGATTCACTGTTCAAAATGGATTAGCCATGGTTTGCTATTTCAAACTGTGATTTTTGCTACTCTTATGAGTTGTACTATAAATATCTGATATTCAGGATATGTGACCTTAAAAAGATTGTGCCCTACAGGTTGAGAACTGTTTCTCTAAGAGACAGCAGATGCCGCCAGCCCAGACTTGTATAACCAGAAACATTTCAGTCACTATAGATGGGGAAAACAAGATATTTCATGACAAACCTAAATTTGAACAAAACTATCTACAAATTCATCCCTCTAGAAAGTGGTAAAAGGAAAACTCCAACATCAGGAGGTTAACTACACCCATAAAAACACAGAAAATAATTCCATACCAGCAAAATCAAAAGAAGACACACACACACACACACACACACACACACCACCACCACCACCACCACCACCACCACCACCACCGTCACCAACAGAATAATAGGAATCAACATTGGTCATTGATATCTCTCAATATCAATGGTCTCAATTTACCAATAAAAAGACATAGACTGGCAGAATGGATTAACAAACAGGAGCGATCCTGCTGCATCAAGAAACATACCTTAACATCAAGGATTAAAGAGACACCACGACCATGAAAACTCTTGTAAAGAAAAACATTTAATTGGGACTGGCTTAGAGTTTCAGAGGTTTAGTCCATTGTCGTCTTGGCAGGAAGTATGGAGACACACAGACAGATACGGTGCTAGAGAAGGAGCTGAGAAGGCAGCAGCAGCAGGAGTCTGAATCACGAAGCATAGATCAAGCATATGAAGCCTCAACGCCCTCCTCCATGTGATACACTTCCTCCAGGAGGCCACACCCCTTAATAGTGCCAAACATTCTCACACATGGGTCTGTGGGGGCTATTCTTATTCAAACCACCGCGAGGACCAAGGGTGAAGTGCTCCCTTAGTCCCAAGGAAACCTAATGGAGTTAAAACTTGGTCACTCTTTGAACTAGTTGGGAACAGGATACCAAATTTCAGACAAGTCTATATACTCCCTTAGGACTGTGGGAGAGCCCCGGGCCAGAAATAACCACAGAAATATAGACTCCTGGTTCTACAGTGACCCCTGCAACACCAAAGTCAAATCCCCATACCCACAGGGACGTCAAAGAAAAATAGAGCTCAATCTTAGACTCCATAAGGACTTTACACACACTGGAGCCAACGCTTAGTTCCCACACTCACCTCAGAAACCACTATTTGTGTGGCTAGAAGGCTGTGTGATACTACTCTTCCGTCCCATTGTGCTCTCTGGATCTGTGCTAGCTGCAACACTGGCTGCAGGGCGTTCTCAGATCCTGTAAGAGCCAAAAGCCAGTTCACATGGTGGTCTCTGGTCCAGCAGAAGCTAGAGACTCTGAACATGCAGGAATCAAAAGCTTGTTCAGGCATCAGGAGTTTTGTATAACAGTCTTTTTTGCTCTGGGAATATTATAGAAAAGTTTAAATCAATGGAGATTATTAATAATTATATCTCATCTCACATTGCCACCAGAAATTTCATAAGGACTATGCCTTTATTAAAGTGGCTAATGAAACTGATTGAGAAAATTAAAGATAAGCCAGCGATCCAATTTATTAGTCCTTTATTTAAAAACAAACTGGAACTGGAGGCCACCATATTTATTTATCTTATTTTAGAAGTTAAGATACATACATTTGGCACTAGAGAGATGGCTCAGTGGCTAAGTTCTTGCAGAGGACCAGGACTCAATTCCAAGAGTCTTCAGGTAGCTCAGAACTGCCCAGGGGATCTGATGCCTCTGGCTTCCATAGGTGCTTCAAATATTTCATGCCTCTCCCCACAATGCATACAATAAAAATAGTTATCTATCTATCTATCTATCTATCTATCTATCTATCTATCTATCTATCATCTATGTTATTGCCCTAAGTCTCACTCTTCTATTAGAAGGGAAGATGACAGAATGCTGTCTTCTTTAAGGAAATGAAAGTTATTGTGTTAAAGTAATTTTAGTTTTGTAAGATTTTTTTTTTCTTAGATTTGATCTTAAGGAACTCATGCTGGGTCCTTAATAACCACCATTTGCTTAATGTAAAGCCTATGACCTTATCTTTTGATCACTTGTTTTAGAACCATTCTTGTTTCTTTTATGTATTACCCCCCACAAAGTGTAAAGCTCTTTTACTAGCTACATGTTTTCTTGAGGGTTGGGGAGCTCTGCTAAATCATGATGTTCTTCAGCCCTTGTCAGTAAAATAGTGACTTACTTTTCTTTAGCTCGTTATCATTTTATTATTTTTGTATGTAACTTTTGTATTCTGACCTGTTCAGTCAAATCTACGCAAGTACTTCTAAAGGTATAAATTATCTCTATATGTTTCTGCTTCCACTTACTTCTTACCATTATTATTTGTGATTATGTTGTCAGAATTTCATCTTGGTACTACATCTTTGTGAAAATTCTGCTGTAAATATGTTTTTCCAGAAACAGTAAGTATTCTTTTGTTTCCAAGGGAACAAATTCTATATTAGTCTATTCTTCTTTTCTTTGTTTGCACAATGCCAGATTTATTATCTGTAGGCATCATTTCCCTATGTACTTCTCTACAGTGAAACTCTCAGACAAATGACAAAAGGCAAATCCACAAAAGAACCAGTTAGTATTTTTGTCAGGGTTTGGATTTGTCCTAGTCCCAAAGTAGCTGAAAATTCTCCTGTTTCATCAACAAAATGCGGTTTAAAAGATATGTTGCAGTATCAGTCTCAGAAAAAGCCCCTGTGTCCAGAATTGTTGGTTCTGTTGCTCTCCTTGTGGAGCTCCTCTCCAGGTCTTACTATCTCCCCCTTCTTTCAGAAGATTCCCTGCACTCCGCTGTGAGTCTCAGCATCTGCTCTGATACCCTGCAAGGCACAGCCTTTCAGAAATCCTCTGTGGTAGGCTCTTGTCCTGTTCCCCGTTTCCTCCCTGTTCTGATGTCCATCCTTTTTGCCTTTCTGAACGGGGATTGAGCAACTTAGTCAGAGTCGTCCTTCTTGATTAGTTTTTTTAGGTGTACAGATTTTAGTATGTTTATCCTATATTATATATCTAATATACACTTACTAGTGAGTATACACCCTGTGTGTCTTTCTGCTTCTGGGATACCTCACTTAGGATGATCTTTTCCAGTTCCCACCATTTGCTGGCAAATTTCATAATTTCCTTGAGGCTGACACTCCAACCAAGGACCATTCATGGAGATAACCTAAAACCCCTGCACAGATGTAGCCCATGACAGTTCAGTGTCCAAGTAGGTTCCCTAGTAATGGGAGCAGGGACCGTCTCTGACATGAACAGATTGGCCTGCTCTTTGGTCACCTCCCCCTGAGAGGGAAGCAGCCTTACCAGGCCACAGAGGAAGATAATGAAGCCAGTCCTGATGAGACCTAATTGACTAGGATCAGAAGGAAGGAGAGGAGGACCTCCCCTAAGAGTGGACTTGGGGAGGGTGGGATTGGCAGGGGAGGAGTGAGGGAGGTACAGGGAGGATACAAAGTTAATAAACTGCAATTAATAAAAATAAAAAAATTTAAAAAGTCATTGTGAAGACAAATGTATAATGTGAGAAAAAAGATATGTAGCTAGCTTTTTAAAATCTTTTTTAAATTAAATTTTTATTTTTTAGAATAATTACAGTTTATTAACTCTGTATCCCAGCTGTATCCCCCTCCCTCATTCCCTCCCAGTCCCACCCTCCCCTCCCTCATCTCCTCCCTGCCCCTCTCTAAGTCCACTGATAGGGGAGGTCCTCCTCTCCTTCCATCTGTCCCTAGCTTATCAGGTTTCACCAGGACTGGCTGCATTGTCCTTTCCTGTGGCCTATCTAGGCTGCTCCTCCCACATGAGGTGGGGAGGCCAAACAGCTAGCCACTGAGTTCATGTCAGAGACAGTCCCTATTCCCCTTATTAGGGCACCCACTTAGAGACTGAGCTGCCATGGGCTATGTGTTTTTTTTTTTTTGTTTGTTTGTTTGTTTGTTTTTTTATCACTGCTCTGTACTAGTATTCACAGTACAGCTAACAGTCATAGGAAGACAAATGTCTCCTGTGGAGGGGAAAGCCAGGACTTTTTCCAGTGTTTAGGGACAGCTTGTTTCTTCCTTTACTTCTTCTTCCTCCTTCCATCTTCTCCATCTACTCCCTTTTCCTTCATGCATCAGATATTAGTTACATCAATGAGATTATGTACTATAATCAAACTTCAAAAAAAAAAAGATGTTATACTTCAGCAGCAGCAGCAACATTGGAATGTATCAGAGTTACAGCTGGCATTCCAAACATTTTCCTTCCTATATTCTGCATTGGAAAGTCATT